ATGGTTCATGGGGTCACGAAGAGTCGGACACGACTTAACGACTAAACAACAACAAGCTGTGAAATGGGCTTGATGAATTGGAGGTATTTACTGGACCGGGCCGATCTACCATTTGAGGTGTGGACTGACCACAGAAACGTACAGGCTTTAAGATCCCCAAAGAAATTGTCTCCCAAAAGTTCGCTGGGCGGAGTTTTTCAGCTGGTTCCGGTTTACTCTGAAATACCTTCCAGGGGGAAGGGACTTTTTAGCAGACGCTCTTTCATGCCTGCCACAACATAATAGTCAAAGGGAGAAGGTTGTGTCAGCAATTATTCCGAACTGCCAAGAGGTGTTCGCTGCAGTAACCGGAGCACAAAGCAAAGGGGGAGAACCGCCCCAGGGACTACTGAAAGAAATTAACTCCCATATCGACAAAGATGAATGGTTCTTACAAAATAAAGCAGTCTTGGTGGAGCGGGAAGGAGCGTGGTGGTGGGGGGATAGACTGTTTGTTCCTGTCAGAGCCCGAAAAGAAGTGCTGGAAAGGAGCCATGACAGCAAAACGGCTGGGCACTTCGGCTTCGTGAAAACCCTCCACCTCATCCGGAGGCAGTTTTGGTGGCCAACCATCCAGAAAGATGGACTACGTGAACACAAGCCCCATGTGTGCGATGGCAGAAAGGCAAGGGGGGAAGCCCAGAGGATTGCTACAGTCCGTGGCGAACCTGACCAGACCCTGGGAAGAGATTGCAATGGTTTCATTGTCGATCTCCCAGAAAGTAGAAAGAGAACAGTGATTTGGACAGTTACAGATTTATTTTCCAAACAAACACATTGTATACCTTGCGAGGCAATCCCCTCAGCTTCTGAATTATCAACCCTGTTCATCCAACACATCCATTGACTCCATGGATGTCCCGAGAGAGTGATCAGCGACCGCAGAATACAGTTTACTTCAAAATTCTGGAGGGCGGTCTTAAAGCTGATTGGAACTAAACAGGGTCTGAGTTCGAGTTTTCATCCACAGACAGATGGGGTGAGTGAACGACGGAATGCTGGACTAGAGCAATATTTGCAGGGTTTCGTAAACTACCAACAGGACAATTGTGTTGACCTGTTGCCTTATGCAGAGGTTGCTTATAATAATGCTGTACAGGATGCCAGGAGGCATAGGGGGGACATACAATATTTAGTGCAATGGAAACATTTTCTAAAACCATTTGCTGAATGGGTAGCTAAGAAACATATGAAGGTACCAGACTTAATTAAGGAATTCATGGATAAGTGAAATGAATATATAATAAATTGACAGAAGGACTGTTCTACCAACACACATATGCTGATAGAAGAGCTGAAACAGATATGCAGGCTTAGGTGACACAGGAAAGTAATTCATTTACTATAATGCTTCAGTCCATGATCATCTGCTTTCAAGAAATTTCCTCTCATTGACTTCTTTGGTAAGCAGAGTATTAAAACATTATTTCTGTATTGTGACCTCCCCATGGAATAATGTATAATATAGTCACGGTATTCAGCTACCAGAATATAAATCCCACAGTAGGAGAGGATCAGATTATGATGATAATGAGACATGAGGGATGAGAATATAATTCTCTAGACTCACTGCAGTGACAAAGAACTGGAATAGAAACAGGTTATAAAAAGGGAAACACTTTACAGGAAAAGGCAATCTTTAACCTTTGATTCCTGCACAAACATGGACATTATTCCTCTTAGAACCCGAACAGGTAACCTGTCTGAGGACTTCAAGCACAAACACCAAGCAGTAATTTCTGCTCCAACAGGTGTATAAAAGGATTGGAGGGGGAGGGGGAGGGAAGGGAATCACATGCTGGGTATTTAACAGCCATATCTGTCTTTCATCACCTGTAACTATTTGTGATTATTTTGTTGCTTAAACGTTTGTCCCCCCCCCCCATAATAGAATTCCAGTTTAACCATAGCAGCTGATGGGTAAGCATTCGTGTTTTCTCTGTTCTTACAGGACCATTCCTGTATGCTTGGAGCAGAAAAAATTGTTTTGCATGCCTAGTTCATATGCGAAAGGGACATACATCATGGCTCTACTTCCAAGTTGACTTGCATGCATGGCTCACTCTATGTATTAATGCTGTAGAGGTCATATTTTCTGTGTCCTGAAATTGTTGCTAATGGTTTTAGATAAGCCATCCTCTCTGTTAGCTTAGCCCTCTCCTCTCCCCTCTCAAATAAGAGAATGATAATATATATGATTGCTAAGGTGATAATAGCAAGGCAGAGTATATGAAGATCTTCTGACACTGCAAAGTGCTGTATAAACATCAAGTAGTATTTATTATCATGATGGCATTCCACCAAGTTCTGTTTTCAAGTTTGTGAAATCTAACAGATCTGAGGCAAACGTAAGGAATCACTTAATTTGACAGTCAGCTGAAAGCTGGGGATTGTTGCATTCAAGCACCAACAAAAATTGAACTGAATTCAACACATTTGGCAACACCTGTATCCTCAGAAAAGGGGCTGTTGCATTTCTCCAAGTTTGCTCCCTATGAATTGATCCCAAAAGTCATCATGAATCAGAAATAATGTCCAGAAAACCTGCAGCTATTCAAACACTTTCAGCTGTGCTCTCTTGAGACTCTGCTCATTTTTAAAGTTTAGAGTAAAAAAACAGTGTGCTTTGGGATAATGAATTTTAGAGACATTACATTTTTAATACCAATCTGTCAATCAATCTCAGAGCATATAGTTTTCTTGTAATGATGTCTGTCCTACAGGATTAGGAGAAGGCTACCATGGAGATGTAACATCCACAAGATGTTTTTTGCATTATGATGAAAGAACATGAGTTCAGTATGAGGACTATTTCAAATGCAGGTTTCAGAATATACTCAGTCAAAAATTCAGAAAGATTCATGCCCCCGCTATTTTGATTTTTTAATTAAAAACAAAACCCTCATTTGTGACATCCCTGTGTCCCGTTTGCATTTAACTGAGCCAATGTGTTTTATGTATTTCGAAATTCAAGTTCAAGAGGTAGCTTTTAAGTAATATCCCTTTAAAAATATTAATAAAGTAACAAAGATTTTATCTTGGTTGTTCCCTTTGTCTTTCTCAACACAGCTCACACACACACACATTTCAAGAGAACAGAATTTTTATAAATCACATATAACCCTAGTATGATGAAAATATATATGATTCGCCTCATTGTTATCCACAAATTAACAATGCAGAAGTGTTTGGCGGGTATTTTCTTCACATGGTTTTTCCTTTGCTGTTTTATAGGGAATTTCCTTAAAAGAACTTTATGAATGTCCACCAGCTTGCCCAGACCTCTACTTTATGTAGGATTGGTGTATTTTAAGCTGGGGTTTCTGGCCAGTTGAAACTATAGATTCTAAAACCTGCTAGAAGGGAGAATAAACTCAGATGTATCCTCATTCAGCCTTATTCCACACTGGACAAGTTTAACTCTTAAAACCTGGAGGTGCCTTATTTTTCTCTGTATGTCACTGAATTCTGGGAAGATATTCTTCTGTGGTGTGGAAACCACAGAGCAAGAAAGTTTCATCGTTCTGCAGCTGATTTTCTTTTCCTTTGTTTCTTTGGGAGGGGGGAATTCAAGTCTTGTGAGCAGATGGAAAATATCTCTCAAGATAGAAGTCTCTTACAAAAACAAAGATGGGCTTCCTATTGTGCAAGAGTGAGAATATTACATATACTGTATCTATTGTTGTTATTATGATTAATATTTTGTATCTTTGAGTCAATCTTGACTCATGGCAATTGCTTGGACAAGTCCCATCCACATATATATAATACTACAGTATAGTAATTATAATATTGAGACTATTATAAGAGAGCCAGTTTGGTCTAGTGGTGTAGGCTCCAGGCTAGAAACCAGGAGACTGTGAGCTAGTCCCGCCTTAGGCATGAAAGCCGGCTGGGTGACTTTGAGCCAGTTGCTCTCAGCTCACGATGTCAGGCTCGGGCGACAAGTCGGTCAGTCAATTCCTGTCGCAACCAACAGATCAACATTTGGTTAATCAGAAAAAAAAAGCCCCTGCACCTGCAGGAAAAATGCTAGGAAGAAAAAAAATATTGAGACTATTATAAACACTGTACAGTAATTGCTTTTCATTGTTTTAGCTGTAATAATTGCTTTTGTTACTTTTTTTAGTTGTGTTTCCTTTCATTATTCATAATTTTATTTGCCTTTGGATTTTGCTTGTTTAGAAAGACAAATGCTGAGCAGTATGCTGGTGTTAAAACAAAGGAATAAAAACCCCTTTGAACTATTGTATAAATATTTGCAACGTAATACAGTACTAGTGCCTGCTTTTCTTCTTTTCATAATTGATCAGATCCAGCCATTATATTTGAAAGAAAACATTTGCTAGAGAGCTTTCTGAACCCTCAGTTTGAAGTTCAAAAGAAAAATTCATATTGTAGTCTCATCAGGAGTGGTATCTTTCTTGCATAGTAATAAGATTTGGAAGGATCTGGAGAAATCCCTTACCCACTATACCCGTGCTGTAGGAAGAGGAGATAATGATTATGTAAAATTTCTGCTTATAGATATGACATGTATCATCTGCATGGTAGCTAAATTTTAATTTGCTGCACCAAAATCAGTGCAACAGCTGAATATTATTGTTTTTCTTTTAAAGTATGTTTCATGTAATTTTCTGATCCTTGAGTGAAATAACACCAAATTGAATTCTGTAACCAACCGTTGTGAGATATTGTTCATCTGCCCATATGCAAATGAATTCAATCCTTGTCTCTATGGTCTCTTTTAACTGGACGGTGTTACATATTGTAGATTTATGCACTGCTGGTTTGCTATTTGTGAATTAGTCAGTTCTAACTCAAAAGTGGCAATAAGTAACTCAAACTCAATAATTAACTCAAACTCATTGTGAAAACACATAAAGAGAAATCATTCACTCAAAAAGCACTTGCACTTACAAGAAAGGAAAAGAATGGTCTTAGAGTGTTAAAGGGTTTTTTTAATAGATTATTTTACCCAAGTAAATAAAAAGATGCAGAAAATTCACTTTACAAGAAGAAAATAAGTTAGTTAGCATGTTCATTACCCAGTATGTGGACTGGTACATACCTGTTGATTTTTTTTTTTTTTTTGGTCTGCACTCAGTCATTGCTGAC